TCAGTCTGGCCCCTCTTGTAGGGCTTCGCGTTGCGCGCAGGCAGCCCGCCCAGGCACAGTCGACCCGCATGATAAGGATGCCCCGCTCGAAGAGGTTAGAAATCGGCGTCCAATGCCCTTGCATGCTCACCGCGCATCCTGCTGATACGGGCCGGCTGTAGCCCCGGCTGGCCACAGCAGACCCCCCGAGCAGCCTCGGCCCTCCGCTGCCCCCCCGAGCGTTGCGGGGCGGTCTGAGCGCGCCGCAGTGCGGGGTCGCGGCTGCGCCGCACATGGGCGCCGCACAGGGGCGCCGCACAGGGGCGGCGCGAGGCTGTTGAGACCGATCCCCGGACTCTTCGGGGGGCGTGCTGGGGCCAGCTGGGACTACCTGCGGGGGCAGGCTGTGCGCAACCCGAAGCCTGACTCGGGGAACAGGAATCACCGAGAGCAAGAGGACCCCTCCTAACCCCAGTAACACAGAGAAGGCGTGGCCTCACTCAGGTCCCCGTCTCTGCATTCGGGACAGCAGTGCTGGGCGGTTTTTGTTCGAAGCATCTGCAGGAAAGACTCCCCATCGCAAATGTGCCGGGCCCTCCTAGCTTAGGTCCCCTCCCACAGGGTTCGGGGTCCTTTATTATCGATCAAGACAGGTACAGATACCGTTACTCTTAGGTTGGCCGTGTCCCCCTACAGGCGGATTTTGGACCAAAAATACAAAAAATCAAAACATTATCCCAAACTGCCCAAACATAGCCCAAATATGGTCCATTATGTTTCGACTATTTTCGGATAGTCGTCCTGTAGAGGGACACGCCCGACTTCACGCTACTCGCCGGGCCACTCCCCGGGCGCGTTCTGACCAGGATTGCGAGGCGGATGCAGCCGCGGCGGCGAGGGTCTCCCGGGAGGCGACCCAAGGAGGGCCTGGACGAGGGAAGGGCAGCGGCATCGGCACCTCGTCCTCCTCCGACCTGCCAGCTGGAGTCCTGTTCTGACCGCCAGCGGTGGGCGTTGCCCCCTCCTCCTCCTCCTCCTCCTCCTCCCTCCTCCTCCTCCTCCTCCTCCTCCTCCTCCTCTTCTCTGCCCTCTGCGTGGTGCGCCTCCTGCGCGCGCCCTCCTCGCCCGCCCTTTTGCGCGAGAGCGGAGGGGGCGAGGGACGCACGTAGAGACGAGTGGCAGCGAGCGCCCTGGCAGCAGAGATCGCCCTGAATCGAAGAAGGAAAAGCCGGCGTAAACATAAATGTTCCACGCTCCGCGCGGATTTCTTGGATCGGCGCTGGACCCCCCTGCCGGCGCCTCTGGTGCCCCCCCCTAGCGCGCTTCGCGAGCCAGGGAGAGGGGTCCGGCGCAGACGCAAGAATCCGCGCAGACCTCCAAAGGTTTCTGTCAGTGGAGCTTTCGCCCCAATGGAGGTAATATATGGTATATGGTAATCTATGGGGGATCTTGGCATTTGTGTCTATTTACGTATGTGTCCATGGGCCCCTTTGGTATGATTGTGCAGCACGCGATTCTACGGAAGTTTTCCTTGGGTCGTTCTACGGCCCCGGGGGAGACCGTGCAGCCGCGTCTGCAGACCCGTGCGGGCCACGAGCGCTGCCAGGGCGCAGCCCCGACCGCAGGCCGCCCCGCGCGGCGCGGCCCGCCCGCGCCGCGGCCACGAGCGCTGGTGGGGCCCCAGAGCCTTTGAATGGGCTAGAATCACGAAACACCAGGTCTGCCGTAGCCAGTGTTTCTTTTTGCGGGTGACGGCAGTTCCGGTTAGTGGAACGGGGCGGGGGGGCATCCCCCAGTACACATCACTAGACCAGGTCCCACAAAACCCAGTTCTGCCAACGCCCGAGAGGGGGTGTCCGCGGGCGTCGCGGCTTCGTCCTCCCGCCCCCGTCTACGGTCAAGTCCGGCATGTCCCTCTACAGGAGGAATATTCAAACACAGTTCAACAAAAACATAGTTTTGGGGCGACCTTGCTGTCATTTTTAGCAATGTTGGAGTCGTCTTGGCATATCTTGCGTTTTTCGCTCAAAATCCGCCTGTCGGGGGACATGCCCGACCTAAGACTACGGCTGCTTTGTGCAGCGATGGCGCAGTGGCGACGCCGGCGAAGGCGTTCAACATTGGCTGACTTGCGGACGGTGGAGCGACGCGGGAGCAAACTGCCACAGGACCCGGCGGAATTCAGCCTCGAGCGATGGGGGCCGCGATCGGTGCAAGGTTTTGAAGGATCGACGCGGTGTCCACAGCTTCTGCGCGCGCCGACGCCTCGTGGGTCTGCCGTGCCCGTGTGCATGCCGCTGCAAGCCGTCCGGGGGTCCGCGGTGGCCCAGCACCGGTTCCGGCCAGCAGGGATCGGGAGGGGGAACAGAAGCATAGACAAGCAGACACAATGAATCATCGATGCCTGTGAGAGTGTGGGGAAACATGGGGCGTGGGGGGGGGGGGGGTAAGCGAAAACTCCGAGCATGCATAGGAGGAGTCTTGGGATCTGTGTGTGTGTGTCTGTTTGTGTCTGTTTGTGTGTCCCTGGGCCCCTCCAGGGAGTGTGGGCAGGTCTCGAGGCTCTGGGCCCAGGGGCGGTGCCTCGCCTCCTCGTTCGGCCTCGTGGGGGCCGCTTCTTTCGGGCCCGGGGGCTGCGCGAGAGACGGAGCAGGGGCGACAGGCTGCACTGGAGGTGGGCCCCGGGAGGGGTTTGGAGCCGGGGTGACGGATTCTGAGCGGATTCGGCTTCTCTCGGCGAAGGAATCGTGGCATTAAACATAGATTTTTGGCGCTCCGCACGGATTGCTTGGATCCGCGTTGGGCTCCCCTCCCTGGCGCGCGGAGCGCGCGCTGGGGACGGCGCCAGAGGGGCCGCCAAGGCCTTTGCTGATTCTGCCGTGGGGTCAGATCCTTCGCGCGGTTATCTTTTTCGGCCCCAGCCCACGGCATGCGCGACGAGACTCCGAGAAGAATCATGTGGTCCGCCAGCCCACCGCCCTGAGCACCTTCCTGAACCTCGAGTAGCCTGGACCTTTCTGCTGCTGCTGCTGCTGCTTTTTTCTGTGCCTCACCCTCTTTCTTTCTTCCTCTTCCACTCCTCGCTCATCTTCTTCTAATCCAGCTGCCTACGGCAAGTCCAGCCACCGTGTCTATTGGATGTTCGTTGGGATCTCTTGGGGGGCCTCTCAGGGGCCTCTTGGAGGCAGTCTTGAGGCCTCTTGGGAGCCGATTTGGGGCCCTCTTGGTATCTTTTTTGGGGGGTCTTGGGGGCCTCTTGGGGGCCTCGGGGGGGCCTCATGGGGGCCTCTTTGGGCCTCCTGGGGTGCCTCTTGGGGCGGAAGGCTCGGATTTCCAGTGCGTGCACCCTCTCTTGGGCCCATTTTGGGGCCGTCTTGAGGCCTTCGTGGGCCGTCTTGGGCGCCTCTTGGAGCCGGCTTGAGAAGCTCTCAGGCCTAGGTCGGGCGTGTCCTCTTCAGGAGGGATATTCAAAACTAGTAAAATATAATATGACGATTGGCTGAGCTATTTCTGTTGTGTTGTTGATCATTTTCTGACTATTTCCATTGTTTCGCCCAACATCTGCCTATAGGGGGACACGCCCGACCTAATCTTAGGCCGTCTTGCGGCCCTCGTGGAGGCCTCTTGGGCTGTTTTGGGGTGGTCTTGGGGGCCTCGTGGGCCTTCTTGGAGCGTCGGGTTGTCGAAAAGGCGAGGATGCCAAAGTTCTTCAACGGCTCAATAATTTTGGCCTCTTGGGGCCCGCTTGGGAGGCCTCTCGGAGGCATCTTAGGGCTTCTTGTAGGCCTCTTGGTCCATCTTGAGGCCATCTTGGACCGTCGTGGGGGCCTCCTGGGCCGTCAAAGCCGTGGAGAGCCCGAGGGAGGCGCCATGGCCGCCCAGGGACCCCTTGGAAGCAAGGGCTATGCAGTCCTGTGGATGTCATCGGGAGGATGGGGGGGTGGGGCCCTTCGAGGAGACTGCAGGAACCCTGCCAGGCAGCCCTCCGCATCCCTCCGCGCCGCAGCGTGCCGCGGGCACGGTGGCAGATCCAAGAGCCTTGCGACACTCCGCCGACCCCCCAAAACGAAGTGAGGAGCCCCCCCCCGGGTGCCTGCTCCTCCTCCTCCTCCTCCTCCTCCCTCCTCCTCCCCTCCTCCTCCTCCTCCTCCTCCTCCTCCTCCTCCTCCTCCTCCTCCTCCTCCTCCTCCTCCTGGGCGCCTGCTGGCGGTCCGTGGGTCCTCTCGGGAACTGTCGTTGGCTCTCGCCTGGCGCCCCGTGCCGGCCAGCCCCAGAAGAGGGACACGCAGCTCCACGGGCGGGGCTTCTCGCAGCTTTCCCGGGTACGTGATGCGCGCCTCTCCTCGTCCTCTTCTTCTACCGGGCTTCGGCTGGCCGCCGAGCTTCCAGGACGCAGACCTGCAGTATTGAGGAATGAGATGGAACATTGTCCGTGAATCATGACTGAGCCTGATATCAGGAGGGAAAGAAACACACAGACACAATTAATCGTCGACTCTCAGGAAAATATGGGAAAATGTGGGCAGTGGGGGGGAAGACAGAACCCCCGAAAATATAGGAAAATATGGGGACTCATTTTATTTGTGTGTATTTGTTTGTGTGTCCTGGGGCCCCTTCATGATAGTCCAGCAGCGCGCACGAGTTGCCCTTTTTCGGCCGCTCCGGCCCCACCCCGCTGAGTCCCCCCGCGGTGGCCCGCACTGCCACGCAGGCGGATAGCGGGGCGTGGGACATCCCTGCCGCGCGCAGGCTTAGGCGAAGATGCCGGCTATCCCTGTGCCTGCAGAGCCCTCGACATCTTCCATTCTTCAAATATGGGAAACGTAAGGGTCGAGTAAGCCGGAATTCGTGTTTGCCGACGGTTTTTGATGAGCGCGTCCTGAACTTTGACGGTTCGGTTCTCGTGGGATGTTTGCAAATGAAGTTGGCGTGAATTTTCAGATCGGGTCTCGTCGTTTTCGTGATGATCCTGTCGGGCCAACCCGAGTCTCCCGCACCCGAGTCTCACGTCCCCCCACTTCTAAGACTGGGGCTGCTTTGTACTTGTGGGCACTCCCGCGGGCACGCGGGCACCGTCACCGTCGCCGTCGCCTCGATTGCCACACGCCCGGGCGCCGCCGGAGCGCCAGCGCTCCCCTTGCGTGCGAGGCCGTTGAGGCCGTTGACGGCCCCGTCAGAGGCAGGGCTCGAGGCGAGAGCTCTGCGCGCCTCCGTGCCACGTTCTTTTCCCTTGTCATCGCTCTGACGTTTTTTCAATGCAATGAGAACAACTAAATATAACCTCGGCGAGGACCATCGGGGAGCATCTCTGTTCATCGAGCAGAATATATATATATATATATGTATATATAAGCACGCACGAAGGCGAAAGATGCACTTTGAAGGGCGACCCCGAGCGATGGCAGGTTGCCGCCTCGCCGAGAGCGCCATCCCCTCTGCAGGAGGCCGAGGAGCCGCAGGAGGCCGCCGGCGCCGAGGAGGGCCAGGGCGCCGCCGCCGCGGAGGAGGCGGCCGGGGGCGGCGGCGCCGCGCCCCTGTGGAGACGGGGGGGGGGCACGAGGACTTGGCATCCTCCTCCATCTCCTCCATCTCCTCGATTTCCTCCATCTCCTCCATCCCCTCCTCCTCTTCTCCAAGACCAGGGGCACAGACTTGGCGTCCTCCTCCATCTCCTCCTCGCCTTCCTACTCCTCCTCCCTCCTCCTCCTTCTCCTCTTTCTCCTTCTCCTCTTATGCATCCTCACCCCGCCTCAATGCGTCTCCCTCTTGATCCACTGCTGCCGCCGCCCCCTTTCTTCTCTGCTCCTCTTGGCCCCTCTCTTTGCGCTCGGCGCTGTTGCCGCGTCACGGGTGCACGACGCATGTCACCCCCATGGGTGTGTCCCCCGCATATACGGTCAGGATTTGTTCTTGGCATCGCTTGGGCGTGTGCATCTTTCCTCGGCGAGGAGCATCGAGAAGCATCCTGGACCATCTGCGGAACATGCATGCGTGGAGCCGGAACATGCACGGGGAACGGACGTCCGAGCGATGGCAAGTAGATATCGGGGAGAGAACAATGACATAACCATAGCAATTTGAAGGTCCGCGCGGATTTTTCGGATCAGCGCTGAGGTCCCCTGGCGGCGCCTCCGGCGCCGCCCTTGGCGCGCTCCGCGCGCCAGGGACGGGAGTCCTGTGCCGATCCGAGCAATCCGCGCGGACCGAGTTTTTATGGTTATGTCATTGTTTGTTTCCTTGAGATTCGGTAGGTCCTTGCGTCATTGGCACGCCTGGGCCCGGCGGAATTCAGCCTCGAACGATGGGGGCACCGATCGATACAAGGTTGGTGTCAACAGCTTTTGCGCGCGCCGACGCCGCGCGAACCTGCTGGACGTGGTCCCCATTGGGGGCTCCTCCCTGCCTTTCGTGGTTCCTTTGCCATGCGTTGGCTCCAAAGAGGAGGTCCGCCATGTGTTCCAGAGCTCATGGGGCGCCTTCCGCACAGATCGCCATTCCTCGTCCCATCCGCCTCCTATCCTCCCATCCTCGTCCCGCTCTCCTGTCCTCATCTTGTCCTTGTCCTGTCCCAGTCCCGTCCTCCTCGCCCCACATCCTCTTCCTCGTCCACGACAGCACCCTAGGGCTGTCTCGGCCGGGCCGCGGGGCGAAAGCTCTTAGCGTCCAACGGCACCCTCGTCCTACAGTCAACCCGCATAAGAAGGATGGGCAACCTTCCAAAGGGTACCCGCGCCTCCGTGCCTCCTCGGCCCTTGGCCTTTTTCGCTGGCCATGCCCCGCTCGAGAAGCTTCGAAATGGGCTTCCAGGGCCCTTGCATCAAATCTGACCTGTTCCTCTACAGGAGGAAAATTCAGAAATTGTCAAACATAGTCGGGGGCGATTTTTGCTCTAGCATGTTATAAAGGTATACGTATATATGTATATATACACATATATATGTGTGTTTGAGCATGTTTGGACTATCTAAGATATGTTGCTCGAAATCCGCCTGCAGGAGGCCATGCCCGACCTAACCCTTGCATCCTTGTCGCGTACCCTTGCTATACGGGATGACTGCCTCTTCCCTGCTGCCTGCTCCCTCTCTCGGCCATGAGGCTGCCCGGGCCCTCCCGCGAGAGGGCGATCGTGTTGTCGCGGCGCCCCCCGGGGTGCTGGCTCCTCACCCTCGTTGGTGCGTCCTGGAGCTGGCTCGGTGGCGCCTTGGCCTAGCCCTCCCTCCCTCCAGAGGCCTCGCTACCTCCGATTCCATTCGGTTCGATGTCGACGGCTTTCGATTCGGGTTCCCTTCGATCTCGGATTTCGAATCGGAGCTCGGCCTCTCAATGGAGGCCTACCAGCTTGCCGGTTTTCGCCGATTCGACTATTCCCGACTCAGCTGCCGATTGTTGCCGATCCGACTCATTTCGATCGCCGATCCGACTTATCGCTTCGATTCTTGGCTCCCCTGCTCTCTGGTCGGTCTCTTCCGGCTCGCGCCGTCCTCGGCGAGGGTTGTGCGCGGGTCTCTTGAGGCCAGTTCTGGATCTCGACGATGCCAAGCTCCAGTCGGTGCCCCCTCCCTGAGATTCCGAGCTGGGCCTTCCTGCCCGTGCCCTCACGAAGGTTTGGCGCGGCGCCGTTTTGTTGTCGTCGTCGTCGTCGTCGTCGTCGTCGTCGTCGTCGTCGTCGTCGTCGTTGTTGTTGTTGTTGTTGTTGTTGTTGTTGTTGTTGTTGTTGTTGTTGTTGTTGCTGCTGCTGCTGTTGTTGTTGTTGTTGTGAATTTTGTAGTTGTAGTTGTTGTTGTAGTTGTAGTTGTTTTTGGTGGTAGTAGTAGTTGTTGTTGTATGTGTTGTTGTTGTTGTTGTTGAGGTTGTTGTTGTTGTTGCTGCTGCTGCTGCTGCTGTGGTTGTGGTTGTTGTTGTTGTTGGTGGTGGTGGTGTTGGTGTTGGTGTTATTGTTGTTGTTGTTGCTGTTGCTGTTGCTGTTGCTGTTGCTGTTGCTGTTGCTGTTGCTGCTGCTGTTGTTGTTTTTGTTGTTGTTGTTGTTGTTGTTGTTGTTGGTGTTGGTGTTGTTCTTGTTGTTGAACATTATTTATTCTAAAGAATAATTATTGTTGGGCCCCCTGGTGCGCGCCCCCCCTGCGCCGCCTAGGCCGCAGCTACATTTTCATAATTTTCGTGAGGAAGCCTCAGAAAAGAGGGTGTGTACAGGATCCGGTTGTTTTGTTGTAATCCGCTTTCCCTTGCAAAAAACAATAGAAAATGACATTTCTTGTTCTAATATAATCAAATTTCAAGAATCCCTTGCAAAAAATAAGGTAAAGTGGACATTCGCGCGCGCAAGACGAAATCCTTCCAAAACCTTAGTGTTCGCAGCGATTTTAACATAAAAACATCAAAAAACCAATGGTTTTTCAACAAAAAAATTGTCAAAATCTCATCCCGCGCGCTCTTGCGGATTCGTAGGAAACCCAACACTTTTTAAACATTTCTGTCAAACGGGCTTTTGCGAGCAACTTTTTCGAACTTCTGCGACAACGGTTGCGCACCTGCCAGGGCCATCATCCCTGTCAAATAATACCATGCGGGACACATTCGTTTTTTCTTCGCGCGCGCACGCCGAAATCTCCAAAAACCATTGGGCTTCTTAAGAATTTTAGCACCGCGCATCATAAAATCACACGAATCGCACCGTAGGTCCTCGAAAAACACCTGCACGACTTTTCAAAATTTCTACCCGCGCGCGCTGTCCGAATCCTAAAAAAACCAATGGTTTTCCAACATTTATGTTACATGAGCTCGCGCGAGCTTAGCAACTTCTGTGGGTGTGTACCCCACGCCAGTGTAGTAGCCACGGTCGTCCGCAGGCCACGAAGTGAAGTGTCCGAACGTCATAGGGCGGGAAGCTGGGTGTGGGTGGTGGCGAAGAGTCGTGTGGATATTTGGTAGAGCTTGCACTGCCCCCCCACAAAGTGGGGTATTGGCTGGCGTCGCATGAAAACCCTGGCACTGGTGAGAACACTGAGCGTTCGGGTAAAGTGATTGTTGTTGTTGTTGTTGTTGTTGTTGTTGTTGTTGTTGTTGAACTCTCATTTCTGAAGGATAAGTATGGTTGATCCCCCTCGTCAGGTGCACATTATTCTTTCTCGATTGAAGTGCCCTCCCCGGCGTTCGCACCCTGTTTTTTGACAGGGAGGGTCTTGAGGGTCAAATTGTGTCGTTGGCCCCCGGGTTACAACAACAACAACGGCTCCCGCCTGAGACTTCCTCACAATTTAGCCAGGACCCCCGCCCCCGCCTGAGACTTCCTTGCATTTAATTCAGGAATCGCGCACTCGCTTGGACTTTCCTAACCATTTGTTCAACAATCGCTCTCCCGGCGCTCTGGAGTCGCGCTCTCGCTGGAGACGTGCTTGCAATTTACTGAAGAATAGCGCCCTCGCGTTGGAATTTCTTGCAATTTGCTCAACGGCCGCGCTCCCGACACCCAGGCACCTAGAAGTCGCGCTCACGTTTGGGACTCCCTCACAGATTACCTAAGAATCGGGATCTCGCTGCCCTTCGTGGCCCCGTTGCAGCCCTTCGTGGCCCCATCGCTGCCCTTCGCGGCCCCGTTGCAGCCCTTCGTGGCCTCCTCGCTGCCCTTCGTGTCCCCGTTGCAGCCCCTCGTGGCCTCCTCGCTTAGTTTCGTGGCCCCGTTGCAGCCCTTCGTGGCCCCCTCGCTTAGTTTCGTGGCCCCGTTGTAGCCCTTCGTGGCCCCCTCGCTGCCCTTCGTGGCCCCGTCGCAGCCCTTCGTGGCCCCGTTGCAGCCCTTCGCGGCCCCCTCGCTGCCCTTCGCGGCCCCCTCGCTGCTTTCCGTGGCCCCATATCTGTATGCCTTTCCAGGCCCCCGCTCGTTCGCGCCCGTGGTGGCCCCATATGCGTGCCCTTCGTGGCCCCGCTGTCGCCATTCGTGGCCCCCTCGCTGCCCTTCGTGGCCCCGTTGCTGTCCTCAGTGGCCCCGTCCTTGCCCTCCGCGGCCCAGTATGCGTATGCCCTTCGTGGCCCCCGTTCGTTCGCGCCCGTTGTGGTCCCATGCGCATGCCCTTCGTGGCCCCGCTGTCGCCGTTTGTGGCCCCCTCACTGTCCTACGTGGCCCAGTGGCTACCTTCAGTGGCCCCGTCGTTGCCTTCTGTGGCCCCCCATGATCTGCCTTTCGTGGCCCCCGATCGTTCGCGCCCGTCTTGGCCCCATGCGCATGACCTTCGTGGCCCCGTTTGTCGGCCTTCGTGGCCCCCTTCCTGCCCTTCGTGGCCCCGCTGTCGCCCTTCGTGGCCCCCCTCGCTGCCCTTCGTGGCCTCGTTGCTGCCCTCAGTGGCCCCGTCCTTGCCCTCCGCGGCCCAGTATGCGTATGCCCTTCGTGGCCCGCGCTCGTTCGCGCTCTTCGTGGCCCCATACGCATTCCCTTCGTGTCCCCGCTGTCGCCCTTCGTGGCCTACTTCGGGTCCTTGTGGTCCTGCTGTCGTTCTCTCTCGCTCTCGCTTTCGTTCGTCGTCGTCGTCGTCGTCGCCATCGTCGTCGACGTCGTCGTCGTCGTGGTCGTTCCTGTTCGTCCCTCTTGGGGTCGGGTCGACGGTCCGCGGCCGCCCCGCCGATCAGCGCTACCGCTGGCCAGGCCGACGGTCCGCGGCCGCCCCGCCGCTTGCAGGGGCCCGGCCTGCAGGGAAGACAGGTATACCCCCGAAAAGCGGTGCGATCGAAGACGAAGAGGGCGGGAATCGAGGGTTTGGGAAATGCGCGTTATTGGACAATCGAGCAGATAAGGGCGAACAGTCTTAAACTGATTGTTGTTATAATTACTGTTGTTGTTGCTGTTGTTGTTGTTGTTGTTGTTGTTGTTGTTGTTGTTGTTGTCGCTGTTGTTGTGGTTGTTGTTGTTGTTGTTGCTGTTGCTGTTGTTGTTGTAGTTGTAGTAATAGTAGTTGTTGTTGTTGTTGTTGTTGTTGTTGTTGTTGTTGTTGTTGTTGTTGTTGTTGTTGTTGTCGTTATTGTTTTTTGTTTCGTTTGTTGTTGTGGATGTTGTTGTTGGTGTTGTCGTTGATGTTGTTGTTGCTGTTGATGTTGTTGCTGCTGCTGCTGTTGTTGCTGTCGTTGTTGCACTTTCATTTCGGAAGAATAATTTGTGTTGGTCCCCCCACCGGTGCACATTGTTTTTCTCAATCAAAGTGTGCCCCTCTACGCTCGCACCCTGATTTTTGACAGTCAAAGTCTTGATGCTCAAACTGGGCCCCTGGCCCCCGGGTTACAACAACAACGGCTCCCGCTTGAGACTTCCTTACAATTTATTCAAGACCCCCGTTCCCGCCCGAGACTTCCTCGCATGTTATTCAGGAATCGCGCTCTCGCTTGGGACCTCCTAGCCATTTGTTCAAAAATCGCTCTCCCGGCGCTCTGGAGTCGCGCTTTCGCAGGAGACTTGCTTGCAATTTACTGAAGAATAGCGCCCTCGAGTTGGAATTTCTTGCAATTTGCTCAAGGGCCGCGCTCCCGACACCCAGGCACCCAGGAGTCGCGCCCGTTGTGGCCCCATGTGCATGCCCTTCGTGGCCCCGCTGTCGCCGTTTGTGGCCTCCTCATTGTCCTACGCGGCCCAGTTACCACCCTTAGTGGCCCCATCGTTGTTTTCTGTGGCCCCGCATTATCTGCCCTTCGTGGCCCCGCTCGTTCGCGCTCATTGTGGCCCCATACGCATTCTCTTCGTGTCCCCGCTGTCGCCCTTCGTGGCCTACTTCGTGTCCTTCGTGGCCCTGCTGTCGTTCCCTCTCGCCCTCGCTTTCGCTCGTCGTCGCCGTCGTCGTCGTCGCCGTCGTCGTCGCCGTCGTCGTCGACGTCGTCGTCGTCGTTGTCGGTCCCCTGTCCGTCCTGTCCTGAGGTCGGGTCGACGGTCCGCGGCCGCCCCGCCGACTAGCGCTACCGCTGTCCAGGCCGACGGTCCGCGGCCACCCCTCCGCTTGCCGGGGCCCGGCCTGCAGGGAAAACAGGTCTACCCCTCAAAAGGGGTTCGATCGAAGACGAAGAGGGCGGGTATCGAGGGTTTTGGAAATACGCGTTATTGGACAATCGAGCAGATAAAGGCGAACAGTCTTAGAAATAGTGTTGTTGTTGTTGTTGTTGTTGTTGTTGTTGTTGTTGTTGTTGTTGTTGTGGTTATCGTTGTTGTTGTTGTTGTTGTTGTTGTTGTTGTTGCTGTTGTTGTTGTTGTTGTTGTTGTTGTTGTTGAACTTTTATTTCTGAAGAATAATTATTGTTGATCCCCCCTGTCCGGTGCCCATAGTTTTTTTCAATTGAAGTGCTTCCTCCGGGGCTCGCACCCTGTTTTTTGACAGGGAAAGCCTTGCGGATCAGATTGCGTTGTTGGGCCCCGGACTACAACAACAACGGCTCCCGCCTGAGCTTCCTCGCAATTTACTCAGGACCCCCGCTCCCGCCGGAGACTTCCTCAGAATTTACTCCGGAAGGGCGCTCCCGCTTCAGATTTTCCATATTTTACTCAGAAGCGGCGCTCCCGCTTGAGACTTCCTTAATCAGGACCCTTGCTCCTGCCCGAGACTTCTTCATAATTTACTCAGGAATGGCGCTCTCGCTTAGGACTTCCTTGCAATTTATTGCAGCATTGCGTTCTCGACGCTCAGGAACCACGCTCGCGCCAAGGACGCCCTCGCAATTTACTTGGGAATCGCGCTCTCGCTTATTACTTCCTCGCAATTTACGCAAAAATCCCGTTTGAATGTCCCGCCCGCCCGACCCGCCCGTCAGGGTCCGCCCGCCCGACCGGCGCTCCCGCCTGAGACGTCCGACAATGCACTCGGGACCCCCGCTCCCGCCCAACTCTTCCTTGAGGAATACGCCCTCGCCTAGGACTCCCTCGAACGTTCACGCTCTTACCCTCCTGCCCCTTCCTCCCCATCCAACCTCCCTCCTCCCTCCCCTCTCCCTCATATCCACCCTCCTCCTCCCTCTTCCTCTCTCCCCTCACCCTCCTCCCATAACCCTCCTCCCTCCTCTCTTCGCCCTCCCCTCTCCAGCCTCCTCCTTCCTCCCTCCTCTGTCTCTCTATCTCCAATCGTCCCCCCCCCCCCTCCTCGCCCCCTCTCTCCTGGCGTGTTCCCCTTTAGCCTCGTCCCTCCCCCTCCCTTCCTCCCACTCTCCCTCGTTCTCCCCCTTCCTCTTCTTGCAGGGCCCGCGCTAATTCCAATGGTGGGCAAAGAGATGCGTGCCCCATCCTCCGAATAATTCCCCGCCCGTTCACGCCCGCTTGTCTAAGCCCGCCCGCCCCCGCAAAAAGAAAGAATCCCCCCAGAAGGGGGTACGCTCGAAGACGAAGGGGGCGGGTATCGAGGGCGTGGGTATACACGTTGCATGGCACGCGGGCAAGTAAGAGCGAACAGTCTTAATTTGATTGTTGTTGTTGTTGCTCTTGTTGTTGTTGTTGTTGTTGTTGTTGTTGTTGTTGTTGTCATTGTGTGTTTTGTTTGTTTGTTTGTTTTGTGTGTGTGTGTGTGTGTTTTGAATTGTCTTCTCTCTACTTGGTCCGACCGACGGGCCAAATTCCCAGGCGAATGAGGACTCGCAGGGGTGCCTGCCGGGAGGCGTTGCGTCCATCGTGCCGCGTGCGCTAGTTTGATTTGCAGCGCGAGTGGTTCTTCCATGGGCTCCTCCTCAGACAGGCCAGCCACAACTGGGAGAGCTGTGCTCTTTACCCCCCTGGGGGGCCCATCGATTTTGACACCCCTCTCGAGAGATCTTCGATGCGATGGGCCCCCCAGGGGGGTAAGGACCACAGCTCCCCCAGTTATGGCTTGTCGGTCAGAGTTCCCTTTGCAGATCCGCAGCGTCGTCCCAAAAGGTCTGGCGTGGCAGAGCAGGACTCCATGAGCTGTGTCGGCATCGGTGTCCTCCCGTTGCCTCCTGCCTCCTGCGCCTCCCCGCCCATCCCTCCGCCTGCCCCTTTCTCCCTCCCCCCGTCCGCCGCTCTCTCCGTTCCTGTTTTTTGTCGAGGCTGCGGGGCTCGAGGAGGCGCCGCAGGAGGAGTTCGCGGAGGAGCCGGTAGAGGCTTCGGCGGAGGAGCGTGCTCGTTGCTCGTCGATCTGGTCGCGCGGTGACAGCAGTCGTTCCTCTCGATTCTCCCCCGTGCGTGCTCTCATGGTTCAGCCCCCCGCTTCTTCTGTCCCGCTCCACTCTCCCTCTCTATGGCCCCTTTGCTCGATTTCCTTTTTTTCTCCTCCTCCTCCTCCCTCTTCCTCCTCCTCCCTTCTCCTCCTCCTCCAGCTCAAGAGCTCGCTCTATGGGACATTCTATTTGGACTTGGAGAATTTTTGCGGCAGTCTTGACCTCAGCATCCTGATCAAGCGCGCGGTGCCGCTAGCACGTCAGCATAACGTTACCCTACGGCCAACTTAGCCTCTACATGAACATGCGATTGTCACTGTCACCGATGGTCGTTCGAGCCTGCCATGATCATACAGAGCCGATATGCCGCCATTGCGCGCGAGTTCGTTGACGACCTCCACACAAGCGTAGAAATACGGCCAGATCAGTTTCATGAGCAGCTACCCATCGCGGTCGATACGCTCGTTCAAGCCCGTCTAGACTCCAAGCTTGTGGTCTCAGGGAAGGTTGCCATATTGACAAAGTGCGAGGGGACAAATCAATTCATCATCTGGCAACTGAAACAGACATGTCTTGACATCAAAACCAGCATAACCAATAATGCCAAGGAAACAGCCAAGTTAACCAACACCTTCAGCAAACATAACGGACGCTGAAGACGTGGGAGTGCCATGCTCTTCAATTCAAACCTTCGGGCCGAGCAGAACTACGATTGGCCCGCCACACGGACGAGCCAAAGTGTGGTTAGAGATGCTGTAGCCCAAGCCGTGGATAGGGCACGATCCGATCCAGCACTGAGGCAGGTGCACGTCATCGATCAACGCAAATTTTTACGGCCGCAGTGAATCAACTATGGCTTGTATTCAACGGGAAGTTCGTGAATGGATCCGGATGTGGCAGACAGGCGCACCAGCACATGATCGATTACGCCAGGCATGGCAGGACAACGTGCACCAATTTGGAAGGGTGCGGGCAAGAGGGAAGTGGAACTCGGTATCGGGGCTCATGGGTGCGCTGACCTTTTCACTTCCACAAAACGGCTGGGTACCAGGGCAATCCGGCGTTTGGGGAGTCTCAGGATGCAGCATCTGGCAGTTCTTGGGCAACGCAGTCTTCGACGCCAAGGACATCTTGGAGACCATTGCCATGGGCATGGGAGCCCAGCTCTGGGAGAAAGCGAATTGCCACTATAATGGCGCTGGCCTGCACCACTTCGTGGGCGCCGCCATGATTAAACGTACCCTGCAGAGGCTACGGAAGAGCGAACAGGTGCACGAGGCGGGAGCCCTTCAGGCATTTGCGTGTGGTGGATGCGATATTGTCGGGCCAACGTTGCAAAGATGCTGGGTATCTGATGGATGGGATCTGCCCGAGATGTTTAAATGCGCCCGACACGCTCAACCTATAGCTTTATGACAGCGAGATGAATGACAACTTTACCATCGATGCGGTGGTCAAGTCTCAATCGATGCGCAGGAAGGCCCTCGAAGAAATGCGCGCTGAAGTCTTCTGGTTGCGAGGTCTTCTACCGCGACTTCGGACTCCACTGCCAGGGCCGACGCCCTGGAGTGATTGGGATGGAAGCTGCTGGACTGCTGCGTCGGAAGGCCCGACGATTTGTTCGCTGGAGTTCGTGGGAGTTCGTGACCGTCGACCCCATCAACTGCACCGCGGCCTGGTGGGTGACTCTGGTACTGGCAGCGGCATGCGGGTCAACGGCGCTGGACGCGGACTCGCGCTGCAATTCCAAGCCGTGCGATGCGTATATCAGCAGCGCAAGAAATACTGTTGTGCAGCGATGCTCTAGTCGGAATGGTGAGTGCAGCAGAGGGCGATCTGGATCTACGCAAGTTAGGCGGACCACTTGCAGGTGGGCCGACATGTGGCGCGATTGGCGGCAGTGAGGAGGCCCCGCCCCAAGGGGGCGAGGCGCTGCGAGCGGCTGTGGCAAGGCCGACGGATGAGGCAGACGAGCAGATCCGCAAAGGGAACGTGCGTGACGGCAGTGCATGGTCATCAACCTGGGCAGTAGCCATAGATTGCGACAAGGGCCAGAACGTCCGCAACCGGAAGCTATGGTGTGAACCTTACGTGGATAAGTGTTTGCGCCGACCAGAGCATCTATCGCTTCTCCGCTCCGTCTACTACAAGGCCGTTGCCAGACTAAGTGCGTCGGCAAGATAGCGAGGGGCCCAGGCAATGCGCAGAGGGGGGGGGGGGGGGGGCGGGCAAGATGCGAAGGGGGCGTCTACTTCTCGCGCCTCCCGCCCGCAGGTCGGGGGACAGAAGCATATGTGGCGCCCTGCTGAGGGGGCGCCGCGGATTCGAAGGCGCCGCCCCGCGAGCTGCTTCAAGGTCGAGCTCCGGCCTTCGAAGGAGAGAAGAGGAACGCCCGCGCTGCTACATGGGGGGGCAGAGTTCCCCTCGGGTTGGACATCTCAGCCACCGTCGACCTGAGGTCGCCGCGCGCAGCGCCCCGGAGACGCATCGCATCGGGTTCTGCGGCGCCGACGAAGGCGAGCAGGGCGTGCTTGCAGCAGACCGTGCAGGGCCATTTTGGGCGCTGGCCCTAACGGAAGGCCCGATCGCGGTTCGCGCGGGCCGCTGGCCGGCCATCGACGGGCCGGCTCAGCTGTGCTATTGAAGACCCCGAGGAGCTGTGCGATGTTGGTGGAAATGTATTGGGCAGATGTCATGAGCGACCTGGGGGAGCGCGTCAAGTTCACGCTGTCGCGCGCCTGTCGCGCGTTGATCTGGGGTCAGTCAAGCGGACGGGGCCATCCTTCGATCTGAGCCTGGGTAGCGAGTTATTTGCCACGTTTGCGCAGCGCTCTCTGAGATGGCCGCGTCAGGGATACGTGTAGAGACCGAGAAGCTAATGGAGACCGAGACCCTGCTCATGCGGGCTCAGCGCAGAGCAGCCGCCATCGCCCGCGACATCTGCAGCGACGCTGGCCCCGCCAAACATGATCGACCAAGGAAAACGCCGAGCAGATCGGCCCGGGAAAGACCTCGCCAGAACGACCAAGAGTCAGGGTATCACATGAAGAACAAGAAAGGCCAGTGGGTATGTCGAGAATGTTGGATGTTGCCAGGTAACTAGAGTGGCATCGGTTGGATGGAAGCAAATGCGTGCACTGGGCGACAGTGCGAAGCCCACCATGCAGACCACGGACATGCAGTACTGGTTCCAGGCAATGAGCTGACCGAGATCCAAGGTAAGGTCACCCATCCAAGCCGCAAGGTCTCAGTTGCCCATGGGCAGCTATGGTGCTGGAATTGTGCGATGGTGGCTTCGATCAGCGATGGCGGACATGGGGGGCTGAAGCTGTCGGCGAAAAGGTGCAGGGACAAGGTCGCCCCAAGCGGCGAATCAGCGCAGCGACGGCTACGCCGAGGGCTGCCGCTCAAAGCGGGCCAGAACTGGCCAGATGGGACGGCGCCGCCACATGGTGGCAAGATGCAGTGTGCGGCAGTTGGGAGGCGACGGCGCGGATGACTAAATGTTCGGGACTACGGCCCCGCTGACATACTCTGCCCTGGAGTTGTACGGAGGTGGAGGCCCGCCCTGTCTCTGGGGTGAGCTCGCGACCTTTGAAGTACTCTGCCCTGGAGAGGCAGTGCGGTGGAGGCCGCTCTGTCTCTGGGGTGGGCTCGCGAGCTCTGAGATACTCTGCTCTGGTGGCGGCAGCGAGGTGGAGTCCCTCCCTGTCTCTGGGGTGGTTTCTCGACCTCATGCGGGCGAGTGCGGTCTGCGCGGGCAGGGGGGTGCGGTGGCCGTGTCGATCGCGCTGCCGTCCATCTCGAGTCTTCGAGTCTTCCTCCTCCTCCTCCATGATCAGTTTCCTGTTTATCCTCGCATCCCTCCTCTTCCTCCATCCTCAATCCTCCCTTTCCTCCTCCTCCTCTTCCTCCTCACCTTCCTCCTCCTCCTCCTCCTCCTCCTCCTCCTCCTCCTCCTCCTCCTCAGTGCGTCTCCCTCTAGATCCACGGCTGCCGCCGTCCCCTCTCTTTCCTGTTTCTCGTGGCCCCTCTCGTTGCGTTCGGCGCGGTTGCCGCTTCACGGGTGCACGACGCACGTAACCCCGATGGGTGTGTCCCCCGCAGGTACGGTCAGGTTTTATTTTTGGCATCGGTCGGGCGTCTGCATGTCACCCCAGCGGGGGCCATCGAAGAACATCTTGGGCCACCTTGCGAACACATGCACGCACGAAGCCGACAAATGTACGAGGAATGGACGTCTGAGCGGTGGCAGGTTTTGAAGATTCGAAAGTTCGTGATAAAATGGAGTGGGTGACCACCCGCCCTACCAGAAGACCAGTTTTATACCAGGGCGGCCTCTCGCCAACACCCCAGTGGAACTCCCCAAGGCGGCTCAGGTCAGACCCCCCCCAAAATCAGCGTCGCTCCGCCGGCTTTGGCCTACCAAGCTTCGGCGCGACACGCGCTCCATTTCTTGATCTCACGGCGTCGACCTCCTCAGCCTCTCTCTCCATGCGACGCCAATGTGCGACGCCAGCGTGGGACGCCGTGCCATGGGCGCCGCCATGGTCCCTTACAGCGACGCACACGGGCCAAGCCATGGACGCCAATCTGCGGGCCACGACTGCCGCCCTCCAGCGCAGCGTTTGCGCCGACTCCACTTGCGGCGGCCTCCAAGTTTTGGGGTACGGCACGTGCGCCCGCTGCCGGAGGCCGACGCCCTGCCGCGCCGCCCCGTCGTCGGCGACATCATCACAAGCGCCGGGCCTGCAGCGCACCGCGCGCAAGGCCGCCACGACGCCGCATGTCCCGGACGCTGCGCGACCCGCCGTCGACGCCGTCGCCCTCGACGACGGCCGTGTGGTGGGCGTGCCCGCCCTGCCGCCCGACTTCACCCGCCGCGTCCTCGCCCCGAACCACAACGCGTGCGACCATGTGCCCCATCGACTGCAATTCCCGCCTCCTCCATGCCACCTGGCAGCGTTGGAGCCAGTGCGCCGATGGCGCCCCCAAGTGATCGCAGCTTGAGGAAGCGCGCTCCCAGCTCCTGCTTGGGCCATCCCGGATAGCTCGCCCGCCCCTGAGGAGGTCGCCGCGCGCCTGGGGTTCTAGGGGTCTGGAGACTTTGCCGCGCTGCATGATCTCCTGGAGCAGCAGCGGGCCCTCGCTAACAGGCCCAAGCGACGGGGACGCGGGGAAACATTCGACTCCGAAGGGATGCAGCGGCGCGCAAAATGCTTCGCTGCCGAGGAGGGCCTTCCGCAAGGCCGCCCACGCCCTCGCGAACGATACCCTGCAAACCAGCGCCGAAGAGGACCTTCGCTACGCCCGCCAGTTCCCCCCCGGCACCAACCGCGCAGACCGCGCCTTCGCCGCTGCCCAGCAGCCGGGGAACCCCGCTGCGCCGCCCGACCCGCTGGCCGCCCCGCCCAGGGCCGTTGGCCCCCCCGGCGCCGCCCGTCCCAGCGGCGGCCGGCCCGCTGGCCGACCCAGCCGCGCCGACCTCCCACGACGGCATCCATTACGACGGCGACGACGACGACCAAGCAGGCAAGAAGGTCAACCCGCTCGACGGCGTCCGTTGGTCGAAACTGATCGCGCCTGGCCCCGCGGGCACGCGACCGGAGCACGTCAAGGAACTCTTCTCCGAGCCGCGCCACGGCCAGGCCGCCAACCTGCGTCGCGCGCTGAACGGCCTCCACGCTGCCATGCGTGACGGTGCCCTCCACGCGCCCATCAGGTGTATCGTCCGGGCCCGCCGTGTGTGGCAGGGAAAGCGCAACGGCAAGCCACGCCCCATCAACATGGGAGAGATCCTTCGCAGCTCCTTATTTTGGGCTCGACCCAAAATGGGGTCCAGCAACAAGGAGGTGGTGCAATAGATCTGGTGCAATAGATTTGATGGGTTGCAATACGAATGGGGCGTGCAATACATTTAGGGGCGCAAATGTATTGCTGGATTTTCGCGTGCAATGCAATGTTGCAGTACAGTACAATGCAATTCCCTGGCGCAATACATTTGCAGTACAATTACCCCAAATCTATCGCACCACCCCCTTGCAGCCGGACCCCCTTCTGGGTTAATCAAATTCGCCAAACGCTGCATCAGGAAACGCGGTCAGAAGCTGCGCGCGGTGTTCCGGCAGGCCCGCCAATGATCCGGGTGCGTTGGCGTCCCTCGCGCATGCGAGGCGATGGCGCGCTGGCAAGGCACCTTGGAGGAGCTGGCTGCCGCCGGGGCCATCCCTGCTCTGGTCGCCCTCGACGTCGACCTGGTCAACACGTTCGGGTCTGAGGAGTGGGTCTCCATGCGCGACGCGATTAACTGGGGCGCCTTCCCAGATATCACCGCCAGGACGAACTGACACCGCTGTGAGCCCTCCACCACCGTGCTGCGGCGAGCCCTTCGACACCGTCCGCGGGGCCGAGCAGGGAGACGGGTTTGGCGCCGTTCAGGCTTGCCTCACACTCGCGGCCGCGCGCGCGCTTCTGCATGTTCATGTTGTGACTCGTCGGAGATACACCGTCTATGGCTGGGTAAGCATGTGGGTGGGGAGGGGGAAAGATGGGGGGGGGGGGGGCCAGAGTAGACCCAGCATGTGCCAGCAGTGCTGCAGCGCACCCTCGTGTCCCAAGTGTCCCAGCGCATTCTTTCCTTGCCCGGGCTCCCTCCTGGGGAGATGCAGGGCGCCACGGGCCCCCGACTCGGGCGGGCGCTCCACGGTGGAAAGCGCAGCTCTCCAGCTTTCCGCCCTTCGAGCCATCAGGGGCCCGGCGAGGTGGGGGGCGTCGAGTGCAGAAGAAGGCCAACGCCGGCGGCCCCGCTCAGAGCAAAAACCCGCCCCCCCCTTTTCCCTGCAGTGGTTGCGCCATGTCACGCGCTCGGCCATGCGCGTGACGTTTTTTTTTTTTTTTTTTTTTTTTTGTTGGGGGGGGGGTCCACTCTGAAACGATGCCGCCCTCCATCCGTGCTGCTGAATGGTATGCCCCGGGTGGTTTGCCAAGGGATCTGGAGCGAGAGAGCCCCATGGTGACAGCGATTCGCCCTTTTGTTTGAAACGAGTGTGGGCGGCTCCACTTTGAGGGTGGCCCTCCCGCCGTCCGTGTGCAACTGGTGGGACTTTCGAAATCCAAACCTCGTGAAGGGCACAAAAAGGTCTCAGCCGAAACGCCCGACCCGCCCTCGCGACGTGCCTGGTGGGGCGACAGGGAGGGCTTGTTGTTAGAGGGGAGTGTTGGTCAGGAGGGAAAGAAACACACAGACACTATTAATCCTCGATTCCCCAGAAAATATGGGAAAATATGGGAACTGGGGGGGAAGACAGAAACCCGGAAAATATGGGAAAATATGGGGACCATTTTTATTTGTGTGTATTTATTTGTGTGTCCTGGGGCCCCTTCAGTTGGGGGGTCTCGCTTCTCCACTCCCCCGCCCCCCCCCTGCCCGCGGACTCCCAGCGGCCCCCGCCGCCCGCCCCCGCCGCCCCCGCCCCGACGACGACAGCGGTGGCGATGGCGAAGTCGAGCGCGGCGGTGCACGACGAGCGACGATTGCCGCTCGGCGCGCGGTGCACGACGAGCGACGCGCCACGTGCGGCGAGCGACGAGCGACGAGCCGCGCGCGACGCGCGACAAGCCACCAGCGGCGCGCGCCGCGCAGGAGGCCGGCGCGCCGCCCGAGGAGGTCGCCGTCACCGAGGTGCCCTCGCGGGAAGCCGACGCAGCCGAGGCGGCCGCGGCGGCCGAGGTGGCGGCGCGCCTGGAGGCCCGCGTGGCCGAGCTGGAGGACCTGCGGCGAAACCGTCGGTCACGCATCTAGCAGTGGCGAGGCTTCTCGGTTGTTTGAGAAATTTACGAATGCTCTTGCATGGGAGAGCGTATCTGATATACAAATCAATGCTATAATGAATGTGTTGTTTGGTTTGTAGTCTATGTTGCTTGAGCACCTCTGGGTGCGACGGTGTGCTGTCTCCACACGTGCTTGCTCACACCCAAAAAAAGCACAGTCGTTGAATTTTTGGATATTTGGTGTCTCTAGACAATCTCGTGGTATGCCCATAAGAATGCTGGGTCGGGCGGTCCATGCCCAGAGATCGGAATATTCCGTCCGTTTCGGGTGGAACGCGTGTCGGCGTATAGCGCCAAATTGCGCCCCATTGTGTTAAGTCGGGCCTGTCCCTCTACAGGGGGAGTATTCAAACATCGAAAATATAACCTGGGGATTCGTTTTGAGTATGTTTGGGCATCTTTTGAGCATTTGTTCCGTATTGTTTCATTTTTCGTCCAAAATCCTTTTGTAAGGGGGACAGGCCCAACATAACCATATTGCCCAGCGGAGGAGCATAGTGCCCAAACAGCGTTCACGAACGCCCAAGAGCGCCCCTGCGAGGGAGATTCGGGGACACGTCAGGCTCGACGTCGCTGGTGCTCGGGTTTGCTGACTCTTCTGTGCGAGCCCGTTCTGGGTTTTTACGGTCCAGTTTCCGCAGGATGCTTGCGGCGGGAGTTCGCGAGAGTTTTCCAATGGGGTCGGTCCCAGGAGGCATGGAGAGGCCACCAGACCAGGAGAGGAGACCCCCACGAGCTTCCACAGCCTCGACCCTCGATTCTCGATCGTCGACCCTCGACCCTCGACCCTCGAGACTCGAGCCTCGAGCCTGGAGCCTCGGACCTGGAGCTTCGAGACCAGACCCCCGACGACGATTATACGAAGCCCAAAAAGAAGACACTGGCGTCCAAACAATCTTTGTACTCTTCGATCTTCGACCATCGATTCTCGGCATTTCCCCGCGACGAGGACGGCCGCGACAACGGCGACGACGACGACGCCGCCCCCGACGACGACGACGACGCCGCCGCCGCCGCCAGCGACGAAGATGACGACGACGACCGCCCCGCCAGGAGGCGCTCGCCGCGGAGAGGTCCGCCCGGGAGGCGGCCGCCGCGCTCCGCCGCTGCAGGGAGGGGGGGGGGCGAGGTTCGAGGCTCTGGCTCTCGTCGTCGGCGTCGTCGGCGTCGTCGCCGTCGCCGTCGCCGCCGTCGTCGTTGTCGTTGTCGGCGTCGGCGTCGTCGTCGTCTTCGTCGTCGTCGTCTTCGGTGTCGTCGTCGGCGTCGTCGTCGGCGTCGTCGGCGTCGTCGGCGTCGGCGTCAGCGTCGTCGTCGGTGTTGGCCTCGGCGTCGTCGTCGTGCCGTCGTCTTCGTCGTCGTCGTCGTCGAAGATTGAGGATCGAGGTTTGCGACTCGAGGCTGTCGAGGGTCGAGGGTGGAGGGTCAAGGCTGGAGGCTCGAGGATCGAAGGGTGGAGGCACGAGGATCGAGGGTGGAGGATCGAAGGTTGGAGGCTGGAGGGTCGAGGCTGGAGGCTCGAGGTTCGAGGCTCTGCGATCGACAAGTTTTATATCGGTTCTCGCCTTTGGGTTCCGGGTTTTTTGAGATCCGAGGTGGGGATTTAGCAGTAACCGTCGCCTTGGGGATCGATCTTCGCGGACCTCCGCAGGCGGTGGACACGTAGATTCTCGGGCCTCTGGGAGCCAAGGTGTATCTATATCCACAGCCCGCTGGCCCCAGGGCGTCGGTTCCCGGGCGGTGGCTATGTATAACTTCCCGCCTCGCGTAGAGTTGCCAGAAGCAACATGAAGTTGCTCCTACAGAGGTTTTGGAGCTGTCTGGGGTCTGAGGTGACCCAGTAGTGGTCCTTCTGGCGAGCAGGAGGGGCGGGCGAGCGAGGTCTCAGGTTCCGGGTTTGGAATTTTGGTGGCTGTTGTCGATCGATGCCTTCTCGCGATTCATGCAGTTTTCACGCTTCTGAAATCCGCCTGCTCGATCTGCCCGCCTGGGCCCGCCTTCCAGACCTTCCCGTTAGGGTCGACCCGCCCGATCAGCTCGTCTGGTTTTGCCACGTGTTTTCTGCTCCTGACCCACCTCTTGCCAATCCCGTGTCCCATCCTTCTCACTCCCCTTCCCATCCGTCTTCTCTTCCCCTGTTCGAGGGGCTGCACCAATTACGCGCAGCAGTTAAGGAAGGTATACCCCCTGGGGGTTACGATCGAAGACAACGAATGCGGGAACCGAGGGTTCGGGATATACGTGTTGAGTGGCACGCGGGCATGTAATATCGAATCGCCTAAGCATGTTGCTGTTGGTGTTGTTGTTGTTGTTGTTGGTACTTCGCTTCTGAGTATGGTTGATCCCGCCTTCCGGTCACTAATGCATTTGTTCAATTGAAGTGCCCCTGCCGCGGCTTGCTTTTTTGTTTTCATATATATATATATATAAGACAACAACGAAATATCAGGGAAAGTGTGGTTCCTCTAAACGTTTTTTTTGTTGCCCCCTGGATTACAACAACGACTCCCGCATGGTGCTTCCCCACACTTTATTGAAACATCGCGGTTTCTCTAGAGACTTACCTGAGTATTCGAAAAGTACTCAGAAGACGCCGCGCCTCGACACTCAGGGAACACGCTCTCGCTTTGGACCTTCTCGCGATTTACTTGCGAGTCGCGCTCTCGCTTGGGACTTCCTGACGGTTCATGCAGGACTCACGCTTCAGCGACCCGCCTGCTCGACCTGCCTGTCTGGGTCGCCCGCGTGACTCGCCCGTTAGGGTGTACCCGCCCGATCTGCCCGTTTCGTTCTGCCACGTGTGTTCTGCTCCGAGACCCCCCTCTCGTGCTCCCTCTTCCTCCCTCCCCATTGTCCCTTCCTCCCACCCGTCCTCTCCTCCATTTTGGCTCAAGCACTGCTGGCTTCAACAGCTGCCTGCCGCCCCTTGCGCGCGCGGACGGACCGTCGGTGCATCATCAGACATGTCTAACCGCCGAGTAGATGGATCTCCTGGTCGTGCCTCTTCTAATGATGATGATGCTGGTGATGATGGTGATGATGATGATGATGATGATGATGATGAGGACGATGCTGATGACGATGATGATGGTGATATTGATGATGTTAATCATGTTGCTGATGCTGATGATGCTTGTAGGATCTCGGATGCTGAGGGCAGTGGCAGACATGCTGGCAGGTCACGCACAACAGGGATCTCACCTACGACGATCTGCTGAAAGACATGCTGGGTATGGTTCGACGTGTCAACTCCAAGCTGAAGAGCGTTCAGAAGGATCTCTCGCACCATTGAGTAGGACACTGGATAGTGCAGTCGAGGCGGCACAACAAGCTCAGAAATTGGCGGCAGATGCCCCCTGTGCCGCTCAGGATGCGCAGGCTGGGTCTCGTCCAGCTGGCGCCGTTTCCACTTTCGCCCCATGGTGCCCTGGTCCCGCTCGTCCTGGACAACCAGAGAGTGATGATGCTTTGATGATTGTGATCAGTGGCCTTCCAGAGGCCTCGAATTAGGATGATATGATGCCGTACTTGGACAACATAGGTTCCACGGTTGATGCTGCAGCAGTTGCTCGGAAGTGGTGGGCGCCCCTTGGGAATCACACAGCTGTCTATATATGTGGTGATCGGGCGGTGTGGGCGTTATTGAAAACAAGCATTGTGTGTGCGTGGATCGCGGCGGCTCCACTGGCACGGACAGTGGCCAGGCCAACTACATGCCTGCTGGTGGTGTTGGTGGTCCTGCGTTTCTTGGTCTCGGGCTGTGGGTGAAGACGCATCCGTAGAGCAGAGGTACATCACTTCTACAATGGTGAATCCGGCTACTGTGCTGTCTTTCGCGGAGTGATGCGGGCGCAAGTTCAAGATCGTCATTCCCCCGCGGGCGATCAGGCTCCCAGATGCGATGGGTCAGCGGAAGCAGCTTATTTTCATTAACGCCCAAGGCGTGCCCACGGAGAGCGTCGCCTTTTTCAATGCGGACATATTGCACTCGGACGCTAAACATGATGCGACCTCTCTCGAGAGAGTCGAGGAGTTTGGGAGATTTCAGAGCGAATCGTTCGTTTCGGAGCTAGAGCACGATCTTCACGGTCTTGGGGGAAAAAAACATCATTCAGTCTCTGAATGTGGTTGCGCGCAATTGCTGTGGGATGGCAGTTGAGGGTTTTGAGGGTTCCGTGGGGAGTCTATTCGAGCAGTGCGAGTGGGACGCCCGGCTCCTTCAAGAAGTCATCGCTGTATCACGCCATTTACCTTCCCGTGCTCTTGGGCATTTTGTTGTGGCGTCTCCTGGGACGTTGCAGAACAGAGGACGTGTTATCGTCGTTCACAGGCGTCACGTTCACTGCCTGCAAACCGTACCTAATTACGTGCATTTTCGTGTCGCGGTGGCAAGGGCCGTCATCAAAGACAAACCGTTCCTCCTCGCCCCGTCGTACCTCCCACAAACTTCTTCTCATGAGCTTCCGCAAGAGGACCAGTGCCTGGGGGACTACCCGGGCGGAGTTCGTAACGACAGAGGGGAATGGTTTTATCCATTTTGCTATGCAGCATGGGCTCTCCAACCTGCGGGCGCCCTGCAGTGGCGCTGGTGCGCCTGCGAGGTATGCTTCTGGATCGGAGCAGCTTCTCAATCAAGGATCGTGCAGTGACGGTCTCATGGTTCCTGGCCTACGTCCAAGAACATCGAGGTGGGGGATTTGCTTTGAGCCCTGAAAGGGGCCATTGGCCGCGATGGCCGTGATCTTCGGTGAGTTTTGTATTGCATGCCCCGCCGTCTCCAATGTGATCATAGTCGCGATGTGCTGCGAAATCGTCAGGGCTTGGTTGATCGGTTTCCCCGCGTCGCGGCGGCCCGCGCCGGTTCTCGGCGGACTCTGTGTGATCTTGCGCGGGTTTCGAGGGACAGCCTGGTGATTTGGTCGAATTGTCTGCGGCCTCCGGCGGCTATGCTTGCGCTTCCTAGCGTGGGGGGCGCTGCCCTTCTTGAATCTACATGGGGCCAGATTGCACACGCTGCCCCCCGGCAGTATGCGCATCGTGAAGGACGCGGCGCTTTGGGCGCTGTTTTCGTTTTTATGCTGTTGGCGCAGAAGTGCATGCGAGGAGAACCTGGTTTTGTTTATGGCTTGGCGGATATATCGAACGCGTTTGATTTTGCGCGTCACCTCCGCGTGTTGCAGTCGCTTCAGATGCGCGGAGTTCAAGACTCGATCGCTGCGTGGATTATCAGACAGCTGCGTTTTGTTCGTTATACAGTTCATCTTGTTGCGCGCGCGGCTACGGCGGCTTCGATTGCCTGCGGTGTTCCCCTGGGTTCAGCTTGGGGCCTGCATTCTCCAATGATGGTGCTCCCTGATTGTCTTCGTCCTGCATTGCACTGTCTGGCGTCGCATATCGCCCGCATCACTATTCGAAATGGAGCCCCCTGCGCAGCTCAAAACTCACTTATTCCTGGAGTGATAGCTTGTTTAGCATGGTCAATTCGATTGCTGATCCGGAATATGGACATGGTGCTGTACTTGGGAAAGAGTCAAATTGCCGGTAAATAGTCGTGGTAAAAGGGGCATCTTTGGTCAAAGATTTTGTCTGCCGTTTAGACCATTCCACGTGATGGGCCTTTGCAGCGCACGGGTGCGTGGATGGATGGATGCGCGCGGGCACGTGGGTCGTGGCTCGGGCAAAGGCGTTCGCGGCATCTTCGGTGGTGTGATCTGTTCAGCACCTATGTTCCCGCCCGTCGAATACATTGGTGTCGAGACTGCGGCTTGCCCATCGTGCTGCATCGTCGACGTCCTTGTGGTGTGATCCTGCCTGGGGTTTGAGTAGCAGGGTGGCCGTATCCCGTCGTGCTGCCCAGACACAGCAATTCGCAAAATGCATGTGCTGGCATCTGTGACTCGAGGAAACCGACGGATCATATCCGCGCTCTGTCAGGTCGCATATAGATAATACCAAAGGTTGCCGAGCACACTCTGGATTCAGATGTCATTGTTTGCCGATGTCTACGCCGCCATTCAGGACATATCGCTCGCAAGGCAGTCAATAATACTGATCCGATTCTGGCGTGCGTGCTGACTTGGGAACCCCAGCGGCGCGTTGCATCTGAATCACGTAATTGTGAAACATAAGGTTTTCATAAGCTTCCGTGGCAACGTGTTTGGGACTACCGATTAACTGGATTGTATGCCCCCAAGAAAATTCACAGGATGGAATTTGCTCAGGACAGTAACAGGTGGAAGGCTAGTGAGGAGGAACATATATCGTGGATATTGGCAGAATCGTTGGTCCGTGCTACTTTGTGATGGTCGTGATTTACTTTGTCTTCGCCGCCTTGCCACCACCACCACCACCACCATCTCTCCTCCCCTGCTTCAGGGTCTACTCGACATACATGTTGCACGTAATTTAGAAGGGTACGACCGAAGACGACCAGGGCGGGTATCGAAGGTTTGGGATCGATTTTTGTAGTGGCGCGCGAGCAGGTAAGAGCGAGGTCTCTTGAACACATTGTTCCTTCTGCTGTTGCTGCTGCTGTTGTTGTTGTGGTTGTGGTTGTTGTTGTTGGTGCTGTGGTTGTTGATGTTGTTGTGGTTGTTGTTGCTGTTGGTGTTTTTGATGTTTTTGTTGTTGTTGTTTGAGGTGGTGGTGCTGCTGTGCTTGTTGTTGCCGTTGCTGTTGGCGCTGTGGCTGTTGTTCATGAAGTTCTCTTTGTGCAGAGTGCGTGCTGTTGGCCCCCCGTCCAGTCACCATTTCAGTTGTTCAATTGAAGTGCTCCTTCCGGGGGCCGCGCCCTGTTTCTATACAGTGGGAAACTGTGGGTCACCATGCCCTTGGCCCCCGGTCTACATCAACAGCGGCACCCGCCGGATTCTTCCTCGTCGTGTATTGCAACATCGCGCTCTCGCGCGGGAGTTCCTCACAATGTATGCAGACACCACGATGTCGCGTCGTTTTCCCCCGCAAGTTCTTCGGACGCCGCGCCCTCGACTTTCAGGAATTGCGTAGCTTGGGAATCGCGCTATCTCTCGAGATTTCCTACCCATCCATGCAGGATTCACGCTTCAGCAACCCGCCTTCTCGATGCCGCCTGGGCCTTCCTTCCCGAACCATCCGCTACGGTCTGCCCGCCCGATCTGCCCGTCTGGTTCTGTCATTTGTTTTCTGCTGGCCCTCCTCCTGCGAATTTCTCTTGTGATCCATCCGTTTCCCTCTCCTTTGCATCCGTCCTTTCTTCTCTCCTGTTTCCGGGGTTGCGCTACATGCGCGTGGCAGGTCACTTAGATGTGCCACCCAGCGGGCGCGATCGAAGACGAACAGGGCGGGCATCGAGGCTTTGAAACATACGTGTTGGATGTTGTTGCCGTTGTGGTTGCTGCTGTTGTTGTTGCTGTTGCTGGCATCGTTGTCGTGTCGTTGGTTGTCTTTGTTGTTGTCGTTCGTTGTCGTTGTCGTTGTCGTTATCATTGGTGTTTCTATTATTGCTGTTGTTGTTGCTGTTGCTGTTGTTGTAGTAGTAGTAGTAGTAGTAGTAGTTGTTGTTGTTGTTGTTGTTGTTGTTAATGTTGTTGTTGTTATTGTTGTTGTTGATGCTGCCTATTGCGAAGGCCTTACGGCCGGTGCCGCCGACCCTTAGAACGACGAAGATGAACACGAGGGGGGGGGGCAGGGGGAGGAGGATGAGTGGGAGGTGGAGGAAGGGTACAAGAGGTGGATGAGGAAGGAGGAGGCGGGAGAAGGATGTGGAGGAGAAGCAGGAGGCGGAGAAGGATGCAGAGGAGAACAGGAGGCGGGGGAGCAGAGGGGGGGAGGAGGAGGAGGAGGAGGAGGAGGAGGAGGAGGAGGAAAAGGAGGAGGCCAGAGGCTTTCTTCGGACAGCCTGGGGCTCTCTTGAGGGCGGCATGGGCCGTCCAGGGTTCTTCTTGCGCCGTCTCGAGGCACTCTTGGAGGCCTCCTGTGCAATTTGGGGCTCTCCTTGGCTGTCTTGGGGCAGTTTGGGGGCCCTTTAGGAGTCTCTTGGGGCCTCTTGGGGCTTCTTCGGGGCCTCTTGGGGGCCTCTTGGGGCTGAGAGCTCGAAATGTCCGTTCGTGTCCCACGTCATGGGCACTCTCCTGGAGCCGTCTTGGGGGCCTCTTGGGACGTCTTGGAGGCGTTTTGGGCCGTCTTGGGGCCCTCTTCGGCCGTCAGGGGACCCTCTTGGGGGCCTCTTGGGCCGTCTCGGGGCGATATTTGGGCCTCTTGGGCCGTCTTGGCGCGTCGGGAAGCGGAAGAGGCGAGAACGCCAAAATCTCCCAACAACGAATGGGCAATTGTTGCCTCTTGGGGCTCTCGTGGGAAAGCTCCTGGAGGCCTCTTGGGGCGCTTTGCAGGCCTCTTGGGCCGTCTGGAGGCCGTGAAGGCGTCTTGGACAGATCGTTCGGCGATTCGGGCTTCTCTTGGACTGTCTTTGGGGCCTCTTGGGGCACTCTTGGCCCGTCTTGGGGCCTTTTTTGGCTCCAGGACTCCCAGGGGGGGCGTCGTATCTGACCCCCCCCCTCCCCGGGGAGCCCCCTCCCCCCCCCCCTCCCTCCCCCCCCCCCGGCGGGGGAGGGATCGAAGGGAAGGGGCTTCCCTTCGACTCAATTACGACGTTGCTCAACTTTGCTTTGGCTGGCGCGCTGGATCCTTCGCATTGACCCGGCTTTGGGTGCAGGATCTTGCAGGATCTTGCGGGATCTTGCAAGGCCTGACTGACCCGGGTCTGGATTGACCTGGGTCAGAAGATCCCCGACCCTCCTCACAGACTGCCGCAGACGGACTGCGGGTCTGGGGCTTCGGTGGTGAGTTCTCGCGAGGGGGAGGCGAGGCCATGCAAGGAAATTTGCCCGCGGCCACAAGCACAGCCTGCCTTATCCTGGCCTCCGTGGGCCTCCGTTCGGCATCCCCCCAACATACTTATACTATGTGTTCGTCGCCCCCCCGGGGGCGACGCGCGCACCGAGAAATCTTGTAGTATATGCGTCGTGGCGGGCGCTTTCTGGCCACACCGCTCGAGAAACGATATACTACAAGATGGGTATACTATATGTTCGGGTCGGACGCGCGCCTCCAAGGCGGACATATAGTATTAGTATGTCTCTGTGCGTCCCATCCGTGGGAGCCTCCGGGCACCTCCAGGGATGGATGCCATCCGGTGGCCACTGGAGGTCGTCGTCGGCGTCGTCGGCGGTTGCGGCGTCGTCCGCCCGGGCGGCTGTGCCCCGACGGGGACAGGGAGGAGGCGGAGGAGGAGGAGGAGGAGGAGGAGGAGGAGAAGGAAGAAGAAGAAGAAGAGGAAGAGGAATACGAAGAAGAATAATAATAAGAAGACGACGAAGAAGACGAATAATAAGACGAATAAAAAGAAGACGAATAATGAGACGAATACTAATAATACTAGTACTAAGAGTAATAATAATAAGAGTAATAATACTACTACTACTACTAATAATAATAATAGAAATAATAAGAATAATAATAAGCAGTCGAATAATATTAATAATGATAATAATAATAATAAGAATAATCATAATACTAAGAAGAATACACAGAAGAAGAAAAAGAGGAGGAGGAGGAGGAGAGGACGGAGGAGGAGGTGGAGGAGAGGACGGAGGAGGACGGTTTAGGAGGAGGAAGAGGAGGAGGAGGAGGAGGAGGAGGAGGAGGAGGAGGAGGAGGAGGAGGAGTGGAAGAAGGAGTTGGAGAAGAGGCGAAAAGGGGCGATGCGTGGCGATGAGGACGGTAGGCACGTGCGTGCGCGCCTGCGCCAGAGGCCGAGACGGAGACGCTCCTGCTTCGCGTGGCCGCCCTCGAGGCGCACGTGTCCAGACGCCGGGAGGAGGAGCCGACGTGCGCCCTGGGCGCTCCTCGTCGCAGTCGTTGTCGCCGCCGCTTTTGCCGCCGCCGCCACCGCCGTCGTCGTCGTCGCCGTCGTCGTCGTCGTCGTCGCCGTCGTCGTCGTCGTCGTCGTCGTCGTCGTCGTCGTCGTCGTCGCCGTCGGCGTCGTCGTCGTCGTCGTCGTCTCGTCGTCGTCGTCGTCGTGGCAATCGTCTTGACCATGGTCGCCGTCGGCGCCGCTGCCGCCGTCTCCGTCGTGGTCTTCGGTTGTGCCCAGGTTGGGGGATAGTAGTTCACAGTGGTGCTCTGTATACGGGGGCAAAGCTAGTCACTACTGAGCGTGCCTCAGGCAGATTGGCGCTGTTTTGTTCCAGCGCGCCAAGCACACCCTGTCCTGACTCCATGCGCCTCGCCTCCTTCATTGCCTCTCCCCCCTCCCACCCTCCCCCCCTTCCCCCTTCCCCCTCAACTTCTCCTCTTCATAGTTTCCTCGTCACTTCTCTCTTCTCTCGAGGGAAGGAGAAAGAGGGAAAGGAGGAGGAGGAGGAGGAGGAGGAGGAGGAGGAGGAGGAAGAGGAGGAGGAGGAGGAGGAGGAGGGAGGAGGAGGAGGAGGGAGGAGGAGGAGGGAGGAGGAGAAGGGGAGTAGGAGGAACGGAGGAGGAGGAGGCGGAGGGAGGAGGAGGAGGAGGAGGAGGCGGAGGAGGAGGAGGAGAA